AGTTGACAAAAAAGCAAAAGAGGGGGGGGGGGGGGGGGGGGGGGGAAGGTTTGACATATAATGAAAACCAAGCAAAAATTAAAACACTTTCTAACATACAATAGTCATTGTAAAAGTACAATGAGTCTTGAGTCTTCACTCAAGAGCAGCTTCATGATAAGATTACACAGTTTCACTATCCTGGTTTACAAATATTCGTATGTTGTAGAACATCTTACTCACCTTTGGATCGAGTGGAGATATCCATCCCCTCCACCACCTCCTGCTCTGCCTTTATTTCCTCTTCAGCCAAGCTGCAGGATTCGAAAAGGTGAATTAGAATAGTTATAGACCGTATAGAAGTTCAACATAACACTGTCAAATACAACTATATTAAAATTTCTGAGGAAATGAAAGGTTTGCTGTTTGCCAGAGTATACATTGACAAAAACATGTAGAGAAACAATCCAGGTACAAATGTATGCTACATGTTACCGATTACAAATGTAACATTTTCATACTAATGACAGTCTTGTAACTTGTACTGAAGATTATGTCACTGTACGTATAAATTGTATGTGAGACAAACAGGAATTCTGTTCCTTGTAGCTCCTAATCTAAGGAGCTATAAACTGTGTGGACAGATGCCTGCTAACATTTAAACACTCACCAGCATCAGTGAACAAATTAGCTGAAGTAACAGATTTAGCAACACAGAACAGCTTGCAAAATTAGAAGGTAACATTCAATTTTTAAAACTATTAAATAAATAATTTCAAGGATTTTGAAACTAGACTATGTAACAGAAAATGGAATATTTATAATTTATTGGGAATACAATTCCACCAATTATTAACTATAATAAAGAGCAAACAGAACAGAGTTCTTACTATCATTCAACCATTCAGTCTTACATAGACAGTTTTAATTCACTCCAGGTAGGATTAAACGATTAAGTAGATGACAAACTATATCTGACCTGCTGATATTCTACTTTCTTATAGTGATGCCATTCAAGAAAATAAATCAATGAATTTGGCTAGTTAAGTCAGTTTGGGGAAGGAAGGTGGAAGGGAGAGGAAAAAAGAACTAGAATGAATATTGAGTTACACACCATTTTTGGAGATCTGACTATTGTAGATGAAAGATAAAAGAAAACATGATGTTGAAGCAAGCCCAAATTCAAAATGATAGACAAATGAGGTTATGGTGCCTGAAGCAGGTATCAGAGTTGTCCATTAATATCACCAGAGCACAACAGCCAAGCAGGATGTAGATCTCTTCCTCTGTAGTGACAACTTACTGTCTAGTCTGTTAATGTAAGTTGTTGCTGATGCCAGTTTACATTGATATGGCAGACTGTGAACTATCGCTGCTATGGAGTGGACTGAGATTCCATTCAGCCATTCCAGCTCTAGGGACAGCTATTTCTACCACAGAAGCCAAGAGGACAGCTAGAGACCTTTGCTTTAGCCACTGTGGTTAAATCTGCCTGAGAGCGCTAATCAGAGCTCAGAAACAACACTGAGGACGTGGTTACAGTTATATCAGAGAAACTCTTCAGCCTGACTAACAGTTTATATTAGCAGGAGTTTTGTTACTGGTATAAATTAAAACAGCTTCCTAAACAAAGTAAAACTTACCAGCAGAAGGACTTTTTAGTCTGGTATTTGTAAAAACTACTTTTAATCAACTATCAGCTATGGGGGGGTTGGGTTGCAATTCCTTTCATAATTCTAAACAGGACAGTTATGTCAGCAAAAATTTTAAATACAAATTAACCAAGCTCAATGTACGGAAGACCCAAAGCTGAGAAAATTTGTGAACTCCAGAAATCATTATTCTTTACTTGTCATTTGTATATAGCAATAATTTACAAATTAAGCTCTTTAAAGTTATAAAACACTGAAGAGAAGTTCTATTCTACCCGCATCCAATCTCCCAGCTCGTGGACTATGCTGTTAATTTCAGTAGCAAGGAAAGGCACCCCTGTGACCAGAATTATGGTAAATGTGTAGCACAGTTGACTGTGGCACAATGCTTCTCAGATTTATTTTTCATGGGCAGATTAAATGCATAACATAGTTGACTGTACTACAATGCTCACCGATTTACTATGCATGGGCACATCAATTATACTGCACATTTGTTACACCCTTTCCCAGAGGGCCTCCAGCAAAGAGGAGCTGGCAGTGTGTTGCAGACACCAAAACATTTCATGCACCACTTGCCTCTGCCCATTCTCTTTCCTAAGCAATGGGAAGGGATGGGCTCACAGGATGGGTTCATTGTTCTCTTCCCATGTTGCATTGTTTTTTCTTCCCCTCCCCCCTTATAAAATCCTATTTCAATATCACCAAACTGTAACAAAAAACATATTTTTAGAATATCATGTATATATGATTAATAATGCACACAGGTAAATACGTAATAATACACACTAATTCTGTCAAGAATGAAGTAATTTGGCGGTACACATTACCTGGTTTTAAAATATAGATCCAGTTTCAGCCACAGACTAGGACATGCAAGTCTTTACGAGACTCAGGTTGAAGTCTTAAGATCATTTTACACAGGTTGCTACTAAAAGGAATGGTTTCCCCAATCCCTAACCTCGTGTTCCAGAAATCATGCTCATTTTAACTGAATCAGTTCTGTGATCTCACTCACTGTGCAGCTGGATGTGCAGAAAAGAGGAAATGGGAGTGTACCACATGGGGAGAAGGGGGGGAAAGAGTAATACCCTTTTAGCAGTGGCTCACATTTAAGTTACATTAAAGCAATCATAACATTCCAGACTCATCGAAATCTATCAGGTGCCATTTTGTTCAAATGACAATCTCAGGGGAACATCATACAAGAAGAAAGATACAGAAGTTGCTACAAGTCAGTATTAAAAGACACAGAGTTGAGAAATGTGTGTGACAGCTCAATACAGCCACACAGTAGCAGGAACTGTTCCTACATCCCTGACCAAAGTAGCACGGGAAGCTACAGAGCTGACTGAAGATGCTCTGCACCTGTGGGCCCAAACCTAGCACTGCGGGGGTGTTACAGGTCAGGACTCCTACATGTTAGTTACAGCATATGAGGTTTCTTCAGCTCTAAATCTGTCTCTCCCCATCTAATGAGTTTAATTTAGGAAATTCAGCCAGTTTCCTCCATCACCTTTTTGAGTGTTCTTTCAATAGATCTATAGAGACAAGAAAAACATTCTTCATAAACAGTTCCAAGACGAACAAAGTATCTTGACTTGACACATCTCTGATACATCACATAAAAGATGCCTGAAGACAGCTTTCCCAAAGATTTGTATAAATGAACAGTCAAAAATGCATTCACCACTTGACACAAAGGTTCTTCATTTTTCTTAGCAATGGAGGTGCATATATCCTGTACACACATATGCACACTGTGCGTCACCCACAACTAAAACAAAATTCAGCAATTATCTACTATACTATGAAAACTGAGCCTTAGAGGAACAGATTGCATCTCCATATTCTCTACTATAATTAATCTCACTCAATCTTTTAAGGGCATAAACATTTAAGTATGTAAGAGAATCACTGAGATTGTTCTGAAAAAAATCAAAATGTTGGGGGGGAACAGTTAAATAAGCGTATTAGACATAGCTATAAAAGATACTTAAAATTCACAGCTCTTCAGAAGCATCTCCCATTGTTTTATTTGCTGTAATGTATTATGACTTGCACAACATGACATTGTTTGAATGGTGGCAGCAATGATTGTAGTGGTAATCTTTAAGACTCAAGTTTGTAAATACATGCTAGCAATTCACAGCAAGTTTACAGTAACTTTTCTAAAGCTGACAGATCTTTTCACCTTTGCACCTTCCATCAATATAAGCAATATTCTTAAGATGCTTTATAAAGCACAAACTTCCAAACACAGAAATTTCACTAGCAACAGATTTCAAATTAAATAATTCAAGAAAAACAGGTCCTTAATGACAGGTACCTTACTATTACCCACAACAAAATAAAAAGAAAATTAAAAGCAGCAGCAAAATAATTACAAACAAGCATCTAGTTCTATGGAAACAATAACTGTGTGATCAAGTAGACTATTCTAGAAGAGTTTTACTTTGAGAATTCATTTTTGCAGGGCTTGGAGCTGTTATTTCAGATAGCATGCATTATGATCATGCATGTGTACTATGAATGTGATGCTCTGAGGTTGCGGATCAGAAATGATACTGGTATATACTCAATTAAGTACCTAGATGAAAACAATAAATACCTTAGGTCATTCTGAAAGCTACTCTTTTTTCCTCATTAAGATGAATGAACACAGAGGAACATATTTTAAGAAAACAATTGAAATTTAAGCTTTGCCAGTTTCACTGTCAATTGACTAGAACACCAATTAATCATTTAAAACTTCCCTACTCATATTGACAAAACTTAGAAAACAAAAAAAAAAAAAAAGGAAGAAATTGTTTTCTAAAATGTTAAACTAAGTTGTTTCATACAAATTATTTTAACATGTTTGAATGAGGGCAGAAGGGGTGGAGGTTATTCCTTTGGGGATAGTTGGGGACAGAAAGAAAAAAAAAAATAAGGATTGCAAACATACAAGATTTATTGATACTTAGGTAAAAATGCAAAAAGAACTTAGCTGCCTAATTTTTAAATATGTTCTCTATTAAAATGAAGAAGGGTGAGGTTTTTTATATGACATTTAGTTTTTCAAATTTCAGACCAGTCAATAAAATACTGACTTTTCTGTTTAGGAAAATCATTCCTGTACTAGTAGTATTACTTACCTGAAAAAATTACATATACAAAAATATTTAAAGCTGCTCTAACCTATATTAACTACAAAGAGCAATTAAAAGTTGCAGATGAACTACTGCACCTTGACATTTAACCAAGAAAAACTGACAGATATGGAAAACCACTCGAAACAGCTAATGCCCACATACACAATCTAGATCTACATTAGGGAAAAAACACATTAATTTTAAATCAAGAACTATATATTTATGGAATTCATTTTTCCTTTTAATTAATAGGAAACAAAACAAAAAAACCCTGATTTAAGACTATAAGCACTAAAACTGAATTTCATCCTTAAGATAATTCCTGCCTCTCCTATATCACATTTGTGAGTAGCAATTCTAAATAATGATTTCAAAAAATTGCATTCAATAAAAATTTGAAAAAAATATTTGCATGCCATTGCTGAATAAATAGCAGCTTTGTATAAGCACTCACCTATAACAGTCTCTTACTCATCGGTAGCTATGCTATTTATGCAGGATTCTTAAAATGGCGTCTGACAGCACTGCACTGCCTCATTCCTGTACTGTAGCTAAAATGGTAGTTTATTCAATAACAGTATCTCTTGTTTAAACAGCAGTGCTATATTCGAAGCAAGCATCTAAATATCAGAAATGGTAAATTATGACAAAAGGACACCTGACATCCAAATGTTTAACTAAAAAGGCAGAAGACAGGGAGTTTTGTGAAGTCACAGGTTACTAAGGAAATCACTCAATTTTAGATTCACTCTCCAGTTTGAGTGTCTCATATTTTACATTTCTTTTTGCAGAATTCCCTGCAAAATGCTCAATTGGTATTAAGCAATTAACATACACAAAATGCTTCTTCAGATATCTACATACAGTAATGTTTAAGCTAGTTACCTCTGATAACAAGCAAAGTAAATATATATATATATATTTTTAATTTAAAGAACATCTAGGTTATTTTTAAAACCTTATTCTTATTCAGTGTGCATTCAAAATAGCTCCACAAAAGAGAAAATCAGGGGAGGGAGGGAGATCCTTGGTGTTATACCGTCTTCTTTAAGACTATAAACTCTAGAGCTGAGGCCCAAGCGAGGCGACCACAATAGCTAGAGACTTCAGATGCTAAAAACATAGTTTGAGAACAATCATGTTTGAAAGTAAAGGTTTATACTGGCTAAATTAAGGATGTTAACATCCTGCTACAGCGTGGTTTTAATCTCACATTATGAAACACAGACACTATGACAATTGGCAACAAAGGGTTAACATAAGAATGACAGACAATTTCTATCACATAAATAAAACTCAGTTCCTATGTAGCCATTTCTAAATTAGACTTTAACCCATGAATACAAGACATGTTTATTAATAAATATATTTAAAATACTTTCTAAATACAATTTAAAGGGCCAAGCTTGATGGCCTACTATGACTGTTTTCAGTCTCTGGTTTGCAGACCTCCTCAAAGCCAGCGTACTACTACTACTAAGGGGTTTGCAGACAATAACTAAGTAAATCAAACCTAGTCTAACAGGCTTAAATTCACTATAATGGGATTCATGTGCCCATGGGAAAAATATTAGGGATCCACAAATAACAAAATTTGAAAATTGCTGTCTACTACATTCTACATGGGCAAAGGTTATGTTCAACTTCCAAGATATTTAGGAGATTCAAATTAATACCCTGAATTCCAGACAGAGAAGAGGAGCGCTTTTACTGAGATTTATCACCCTTTAACCAATTATGCTGGAATGGCACCATTGCTATGGAAAACTGACCACGACCTATCACTTTTCAGCTACTGGATCCACATGGCCAATACACTTGAAAACAAAGCAAAAATGAAAAAAAAAAACCAAACCACCAAACAAAAAAACCAAAAACCCCAAGCAAAAGCGATATCACAAAATGGAAGACAGCTCAGGAAGATGAGCCAATCAAAGTTTGTGGACACTGATATAAAGGGCTAAATTTGTAATGTAATCTACCTATTTACAATTTTTGAGCATGAAGTTCCTTTTATTACATGCTTCCTCAGTAGCAATGTAGGTTTTCCCCTACATTTCAATACTCCTGCCTGATGTGGGGGAGGGAATGTCATATTTGGAGTGGTTTATACTCTGCATTTTTTTCATTCTCAGCATGTTAAGTAGTGTGATTTTTTTAAAGAAATCACTCAGTTTTTCCCTAGCACTATTTAGCTTCCAACTAAAACAGTTTGTCTGCAAAGAATAGAGAGCCATGTAGCTTTTAAAAAGCTACTGTTTTCATCATAATTTATAATCCAGATCACTCCTTTGTTTTTCCCCCACTGCATTCTTTGTCCAGCTAATTACAAAAGTAACTGGATGTTGGCACTAAATAATAATGGCTAATCATATTCATCCTGGGCAATTCAAATTACTCTTTAGTAGCCAGAAAACTTAAAGTGCAATTATACGATTAACTGCTAGTTACATTAGAATAATGGCCATTTGCTACAAGCTGAATAAACCTCAGCTACATTGCTTCATACATGTCCTGTTTAATTGTGATATTAACAAGATCCACTCCTGTAAAATCTTGGGTAGAAAGAATACGTGCTTTTTCCCTGCGTCTATCACTTAAACAAAACCCCACATTCCTTCTATCCTGAACAGTAGAAAAAAAAAAAAGGCACAGAGTCCTTCTTATTATGCAATCTATGAAAGTGAGTGATAACATCATACCTTGACAAAGCACCAAAAATATATGAAATTCTTCAGCTTGGCTGAATTTGCTTTACTTAGATGGAACAAAGATGGTAGAAATTTCCAGAAGGCCTTTCTCAGTCTTGCCACTGCAATTGTCAATCTTTAACCTACCCTCTGCTTCTATTGGCTCAAGTACTCCACAGAGCAGCGCGATTGGGCTGATCTGTAAAACAACACTGCTGTCTCTACCTTGCCTCAGACATCTTGCTGCAATGCAGACATTTATTTTTTGTGAACTATAAAAGAATTGTATTTGAGTGATTAAAAATAGTGAACTTTAACAGACTCACGATGTTATGTTTCATTACATGCACAAGGGCAGCTTATACAAATATGCTTCACTGTCAGCAGTGTGTCTGGAGGTGCAGATTTGAAACAGATCCTAGTTTAACAAAACCTGTGGGAGCCATTTTAATACAAGCTTTCTGATTGCAGATCACTTACTCCTGCTTCCTCATATTAAACAAATATTATGTTGTGCACTACTTAAGACTGAAAGTAAACTGCTAATGTGTACAAACTACTGCTAGGAAAATTATGTCCAAATGTAATTTCTGTTTTTAGCTCCTGAAGAACAAAAACCAGAATAACTTCTTAACTGTGTTAGCATTTTTACGTGTGCTGAAAAATGAATTAAAATTGCATACAAAAATGCTATCACATGAAACAGTGGCACAACCCAGCAGTGTTTCAGGTTGCAAACTGAACTAGACATTCTTATAACCTAACAAGTAACCAGAGGTAAATTGCTATGTTACAGAATGTTATCAAATACATGGCAACCTTCTATAAAAGTTAGCATGTAACTGTGCCTCGGTGCAGTCATTTGCAAAGCTACCTTAGCTCTAAGTTCTTTCCTAAAACCATGAATGTGTGTTGACTGTTAAAACAAGTGCAAAAATTATATTAAAAGCACAAAAGAGCATCCTTCCTCTGCTTTTGTAACAATACTGGTGATCAGTGTTAAAGCAAGCGTGCAAGCACTACAATTAAAATCTTAATAAAGGGCACAAAATGTTCTAAATTAGTTATAAATCAAGCAAGTTTGGCTGAGATTATACTTTGTATAGTATCAGAAACATATGCTCATTGAGCTTTATTTACTTTACTTCATAAGATCACTTCATTGCTGAGTACTAGCACTTTCATCACACCTCAAAAGCCTAAGGAACAACGAAAATGCGCTTTACCCTACAAACATGGTAATTAATGATCTATGAACAAACAGCAAGTAGAATATTTTTCACTGGCCTGAGGTAAACAGGAAGTATAAGCTTCAAAGTTTAGAGGCAAATTATCAAAAAAAATAGTGCATTCAAATTGGAACAGTTAACATGTACAAGTCCCTTAAAATGGACGCAAAGCAAATCCGATATTTTATATGACTAACCACTAACATTACTTCATCTATTGGACTAACTGACCCAGTAAAAACAAAATGTTTGGTAAACTATTAAAAATGTTCAGAAAGTAGCATGCTGCTTACTTACCAACTGTTCAAGCACCCATCTCATTTTTCCAGTTAAGAAGATACAACAGGCTGGCAGATTTGGGAATTGATCAAAAAGGAATTTCTTGAAATAATTACGTAGCATTAAACCAAAAGTTTAAAGAAAAAAAAAAGGTAAAAAAACCAAGAACGAACAACATGTACTACTGTCATGAACCACACATGATTTTATATCCTCTGGACTCCACAACACAGAACTGTGGCTGATACAGTGTAAAACAAAAAGGCACAGATAAAAGGCACATTAGTTTATTTGAACTATGTAAAACAAGAAAGCTAACAGTTCAAAAACATTTTCCATAAAGAATCAGATTTGTAAACAGATGTACTGCTGCATTTTATTGAGCAGCAACCCATTTCCAAAATCTGCAGCATAAAAACTCCCTTTTAAAGGAACAAAATATTAACCATACATTGTCCCTCAGAAAGAAAAACACGTCGTATTAACTACTCCTGCAAGAAAAAAGGTTCAATAATCATTTTAAGTTAAGATAAGCTGCATAAAAAACATGATGCAACAGCACACCACCACGTAGGCCCAATATCTACAATCTGCCATTAGCACTTTTTGCTGATGTCTAGGTTTTTAAAAATCCCATATTTTCTCAGAGATAACTTATCTTAGCTATTCCATTCACTGTTTAGAAAGGTAAACTTGCCTGTTCTTCTGTCTGCCATTATCCCTGCTTGACTCCCTGTAGGGCAGTTAAATGCATCTGCTCCCTAGCTTCCATTTTCTCTTCAGCAGGCATGTGACACAACAGACAATAGTGCTGGCAAACTGCTCAGAGAGAGAAAGCTTCTTTGGAATACCAGGATCTTGATAAACTCTAAAAACACCATCCTCCTGTGAAGAAGTAGGTATGCCAAGGTTTTGCCAGTCTGCAAAATAAAGCTGTGGCTAATGGCTACTAACCATGTGACCCAAGAAAGCAAATTTAAACAGTTCCAACTTAATAAAGTGCTGTGGTGTGAGTTTTGCACAACAAATCACAGAGAATCACACTCTCAACCCACAACTCATAGGTCTTAGAGAAAAAAAAATGTAAAAAGTAAGGCTTACCTCTGTGGATGCATTGTTAACACAGTGTTATGTCAATACTTATAAAACATGGAGGACAGGCTCTCAGTACTCAGGCAGAAAGGGCTTGGCACTTCAGCTTGATGATCTGTCTTCCTAATAAAAGCTAATCCCGGATTGGCTACTTTGGTAAATCTGAATGTAAAGCTTCAGGGGATTGGCTGAAACACTTCCTGAGCGATTATCTTTGTGCGGCTCTGGCAAGCAGGAGCCATCCTGTGCACAGAGAAGACAGGCTAAGCTAGGCCCGTTTCAGCAGAAGAAACTTGAAAAGAAACCCCAAATGTGCACTCCCCGTATAAAATACACAGATTTTCAAGCGGAGGGAAGTGATCGCAAACTGCCTGCCTGAGCAAACGTGTCCTAACATGCCATTACTGGAGGCATTTGGATATTTTAAACCTGAAGGAGGAAGAGTTCACCCAGGTCACAAAAGCTATTCTTTATAAACAAAAAGCTAAATTCACTTTGCTGGTGTTCTGCAATGTGTTGCACGGAGAAAGCAAGGCCACAGAAAGAGAGGAAAACATACTGAAAGTGAACATGCACAGGAGGGACTGAAATTAATAACTGAAAATTCTGAGAATTCTCCTATTCCAGAATTTTAAGGTAGTAACACCTACCGTAGCAACCATATACCGACAGTGTGATTTCTTTAGATACTAGGATAAGCCCAGCCTTAAATAGGAAAAACTTCGTGTCTCATTTCCACAAAAACTACTATACTATTGAAATTACATTATCACAGAGGGTTGCTGCCATTCAGTGCTTGCCCTCCCTGTTTACAAAAATCCTGCAAAGCATAACCAAAAAAATCAGTATCACACCAGATACTGTTCTCTCCAAACCCCCCCCCCCGCCCCCACCCCCCCCCCCCCCCACGCCGCCTGTTACACAAAAATCTGACTTCCGTATTAGCCGGCTGCAGCTGCAGTTTCCTGTCTATTAACCCTGTAGGACTTGGTACTTTTTAAGGTACAATACTGGCCCTAAAAAGACATAGATTTCTCTACATGGCAAGTTGTCTGTCTGCTTTCACAAAAAACATTAATATAGCTTTTCGGATGTTTTTGCTTTACCTTTTATCTTTCACTAAAATTCTGCAAATGAAACAAAATGAGAAAGCGGCATGTAAGCAACCGGTTTGATCTTGGGCCAATTCCCAAGCATTTGATTCAAAAATGCGATTCAGTTCTCTTCCCTAATGCAGTGAAAGTGGGAGGATTTATTGCTATGCCAGGAAGGAAGAAAGTCTTAACTCCAGATGAAGATTTTAAAGGTCAAATCTTTAGAAAGGCCCCAACAAGCCTTTACACTTTTGTTCAAAATTTTGCATCTGTATTAGGTAGCTCGGCATTATCATTCTATAGCCATCAACAAATTACAATGGAAACCGTAGATGAAAAGGTGATTCTGAAGCATATTGCATATTTTCAAAGGATTATTTATTAGGGGAAAAAAAAAACCCAACCAAAAACAAATGGAGTTGTAGAGGGAGAGGTTTAATATTAAAACAATAATTATTAAATAATGAGCTAAAATAACCAAAGCAAAATAAACATTCTTCTAATACAGCATGCAAGATCAGGATTGTGCAAAACAGATTATAGAAACCCCCCTCCCATAAATCAAGGCCAGTTGCAAACAGAATATGTACTTCACTCAAGTGCTAATGATCTCAGAAGCAATTACCACAAATAAAACTAATTCCCTCCCTTAGCTCCAACCAGCACCTTTCATGATAGAACTACTTTACCACACAAACCTCTTTGCTTGAGAGCCGACATGACTCATAACTATGCAAGTTAGTAAAATTAATAATCCTACTCCGCATTGTCCCATACTGCGTTCAGATTATTTCTTGAGATATCATTGTCACAGGAAAACTGCCAAACCATCCTATCACTGTGCTTACATTTTTCTGTGTTCTTGCGTTTTAGGCTGCAACAGCAGATTAACAGCCCAGAGTATAAATTCTCATCTCATAAGTAATTCTGGAGTCCCTGCTGGAAGCATTTTCCCTTTTTAGCTTTGGCAACGTTTTTCAGGGCAGGGAGCAGGAAGGCTCATGGATTACACTGGCAGTTTGTTCTGTTTTAGGAATGTAGCAGAAACTAGAGAGAGTGCTGCTATAAAGGGAATCGTACAGCCCACTACAGCAGCAAGAACACACTGGAAATGCATGACATTCAAGTGCATACTCGCATCAGTTTTAACAGTTCAAACCATTCAAGATAGCTTTCCTTTTTAATTGCATACCTAAAGGCCTATGCTACTCAGAGATATCACCCCCACAACACACAAACATCCAAATTTTGATTCCTCCACGCAGTAAATGTGAGGATTGTCAGCCATTAACATTTATGCTCATTGATTGACTGCTCTAATATTATTCTATTTTTTTAAAAATCCTAATCCCTATGAAGTACAGCAATGGAGCAAAACTAAATACACTGAATTTGTCAATGCTTTGTGCTAACCAAGACCCGACTCTGGGAATGCAGTAATGCTGGTGGTGACTGGGAACACTGCCAAACTGACACACTTGAACTTACCAGAGAGAATCAGCATGCAGCAGATAGGTAGAAGCAGAAGCAGCCTTAGAAAAGGCCTAAGGTCCTATCCTCTTGATTCAAGGAAATGGTGGACCAAATGCAAAAGAAAAATTGAGAAACCTTCAGTCATTAGCAAGAACAAAAACCTAGAAAGTATATCAGATGGAATATAGCATTTGTATTCGGCCACAAGGCTACTCTGCTAAAATAGACAAAGAATTCTGTCAGGAATCAGAAAGGGAAAGCTTGAAATATCTTTCTCTATTTTCTTGTCCATACACATATTTTGCAACAGGAGGTACAAGTCTGGTATAATGACACACAGGAACATCTGGAAAATTCAGAAGATTTTGTCTGTTAAGTCACAATGATTTCATGTCCTACTGCAGCTTGACCAATCCTTTTACATAGGAGTGGTGAATTTTTTGGAGGGGGAAGGGAAAGAAAGGTAAAGAAAACAAAGAAGAGAGACAGGGGAAGCTAAAATCTTTGTTAAAGCAGAAGAGAGGGCGGAGAGATTAGATTAGCTAGTGTTTGTCCTTTTCAATGCTTTGGAGATGTTAAGGGATACAGGGCTGTGAGGCAGGAAAAAAAAAAAAGGCTAAAGAGAGAAACCAAAGGAAAGATGGAAAGCACGAATTCAGTCAAAAGGAAATTAAAAGACAACAATGTTCGAAGTGCAACCTACTATATTTAAAGTTCTTTGCAAAGAACTCTGCCCGCTGTGCAGAATCTCCAGAAAGCATGCACATCAAGCACCACAGTGTTGTAAGGGACTATACTACTTAATATATACCGAAAGCCTCAAAATTAAACAAATACCAGTAAGGAAGAGATTTGTCTGTATGACGGAAACAGGGGGTTTGATATGTACCCCTATAGGGGGTGAATCATCACTGACAGAGAGGGAACAGTAGGTGATGGACAAAAGATGGACCTTTAAAAATAACATTTTGAACAGGTACACAAAAGGAAAGGGGGACTGTCATGTTTTCCAAGGATAATAATAAATAATAATAATAAAAAAAACCTGAACAGGGGAAAGAAGTTGTATTAAGGGCTTGTAGCTTGGTCCTGGATTTCAAAGTCATTGACTGACAACCCTAATTTCTAGAAAAAGAACATGAAACATTGTAATTCAGTGTCTTTCCTTTTAAGAGTTTTTTCCACCTTTTCCCCTTTATCCTGAATCTGCCAAAGTATCAGTAACTGCTTAAAGACCAGAAGATAAGACTGCCATCTGATACAGAATCCAACAGTAAATGTCTATAAAGGCAGTTCCCAAATTTTTTAAAGCAGGCCGGGTGCTAAAATTAGTGAACTGCCTAAGAAGGTTGGTAATTTTGTAAATTATCAGAAACTACTGGAGAATATGTTTGTGCCAAGTAGGTAGCTGATTTGCCCATAAGCTTAAAAGGCTTTGAGGCCAGATGCATGCATGCATTTGTCCTTCTGAACAATATCTTTGAATACTTTTGGTTTACATTACTTGTTCCGGATCACAATCATCATTCATTGTCTGCAGATTAAAAAGCTGGTTTTGTTTGTAATATACACTGAATATCTGGTGCATTATGAAACTTTCTCTTGACAGCCATTTTTAGTATGCTATGTAACTGCCTCATACATTTCCTTCTAAAGGAAATCTCCATTCATGTTCAATCATCTGCCAAAAATACCTGAAAAAAAAAAGCACCCTTGAGCCCTTTCCTTCAGCAACTGTAGCTTTTTAAAAGAGGTGCTACAGCCTATGTTATCTTAAGGCATAAGCGCATATATTTCATCCCTTTCACCCCCAGTTTGAACCAATCTTTCCAAGATTTAACAGCTGGGAGCTGGGCTGTTGCTATCCTGTATAAAACAGGATTTTCATTATTATATATTTAAATTACACACTCTGTAGTAAAAGCCTAACAGATATAATTTATTTCATATTTCATATGCAGCCAAATACTTTTTCAGTTACCTGGAAAGTAGCTCTGAGACACAAGCAGATATATTGCATGTCAGACGTAAAGCATATCCACCATGCAGGTGAACTACACCTGTGTAGCAAGTGGATTTATCATGCCTGCTCTGTGATAACATGGTAACGAGTCCAACTCACTGCACACGCAAGGTCTGTGGCTATGGGAATGTAGATAACCTGCATGAGAACTGGTACAAAATCCTGAAAGAAGTCTGTTTCACCAAGGGATTCTAATGCCCAAGTGTGAGACATCCTGCATATAGCACTTATTCTGACATCAAGGTCCTTCCCAAGAAAATAGAAGAAAGTCACTACTGTTAGGGAAGAATTATTTAGGACCAGGTCTGGATAATGCTAAACTCTAGTCCTATTACTATGGTTTCTTTTTCTCTTCTGATTTTTTCACATTCAGGATCACTTGGTGAACATGACTTTTTTTTGCTGGTGGGTTTTTTTTTTTTAATAAAAGCTGATTATCTCACAGAAGACTCCACCAGCTAAAGCTCATACCAAATATGTAAAGTGATGGAATTACAA